GCTGAACCACTGACTTCCACAGCCTGCAGTTCAACTTCTTAACCACTTGAGCCACCACAGCTCCTTTATACCTATATATAGAGGGAAGATAGATATACTTAAAAGAAGACGATTTCCCAAATGGTGTGCTCTTGTCCAGAACTCAAAGCTGTGTTGTGGGCATATTAGCATGCACATTTGTTGCTAGAATGCAGCTTTGAGGCTGCAAAGAGAGCCCTTACATCCTCTTCTGAGTGAGGTACTCGGGTTAGTATCTTGCTTCCAGGTGGCTGTTCCTACACATTTTTCTTGGGTTTGGGGGAAAGATAAGAGACTTGTTTTGACCCTGTCATCATCTTACGTAGTTGACTATTTTGTAACCTTTTTATCATCTTTGGTCCAATAACCATGAATGGAATTTGTTTGAGACTCGCTTCCAGCAAAACTGAAGTCTGGGTAAGTGTGCACAAGGTTCCACTATTGATCTTTCTCCCCCTCCTGCTGTGCAGTTTGGCCTCTCCCTGCTGTTTTTGGTTCTGAGCCGTGGGGAGGAAGTGCAGAGTGCCGATTCTACTTCAGAGCTCGCACAGGACAACCAGTGGTGAGTCTGAACAGCCCAACTCGAGCTGTGCCTGCTTCTCAAATTTATTCTTTGACAAATCAAAGAATTTAGTTTTTAAACTGCTGCCTTCAACATAGGCAAGGGTTAGTGTGGTATCTAGTAGGTCACGTTAGAGAAATTTCTTCTGGTTTTGTCAGAACACCATCACATGATTGCACACTGTTGTCATGATGGGATGGCTTGCTATGTGTGTGAGGAATGGTTTGCTATGTACTGCCCTTCTTTTGCGGTTCTCAGAGAGAGATTTTGGCTTCCTAAACAGCCCTGTGAGGCAGGTTAAGTGGTGGGTCTTAACTCCCAAGGACATGATGCAAGTGTTTTGAATCTGGATTTCCCTTGTCTAAGAGCAGCATTCAGACTATGACACCACACAGGGTGGAGCGCTGGATCTCCTGCTTCAATTGTCTTAAATTGTGCGCTGACACAGAGGTGTTCTTTCCATTGTATATTCCCTCACTGTTGTAGGGATTTTGGCACATCCTGAGCCATGAATGGAAATGAGCGTCCTTTAAAGCTGGGGAACTCATTAATTCTGTGTTCAGAGCAAGGGAACCAGTGATGGTCAAATCTGGAGTTTATCTTGAATACTGCATTGACTTTTACAGTAACTCAAAATAATAGAACAAAGTTTGAGTCCAGCAGGGGCACCTTTAAGACCAACAAAGTTTAATTCTTGGTATAAGCTTTCATGTGCATGCCTGCTTCCTCAGATATCTGATGAAGTGGGCATGCACACAAAAACTTAAACCCAGAATTAAACTAGTTGGTCTTAAAGGTGCCCCCACTGGACTCAGACTTTGTTCTGTTGCTTCAGACCAGCCCACCTGAATCAAAATAACAGCGTTAAAAGGAAGTCCGTGGATCCTTGCCTGTACCTGCCATTTTGGAAACGTTGCCTGTTGGCAAGGGACGATAACATCATCTTGTCTTCTCTGGAGCAATCTTTTCAGATGTTTAAGGTCGTGACAAAAGTCCCCTCACTTCTTGCCCTCTCTTGAAATGTGCTTTCCCCCAATCTCAGCTACAGTGACAAACTGTTTAAACTGCTTATATGTTTTCTTTTTGGCCTTTCATTCAAACATTTTCTCCCATTCATCTACACTTTTGTTTGAAGTGTAACAACAGAAAATGAATAAACCATTCAAATCATGGCCTCATTGCCAATTAGAGGAATACTCCTCAATGTATGTAGATTTTCTACGCTCCTGTATTAATGTGTTGTAGGACAACACTTTCCTCCCCCCTCTCCCTCCCTCAGTCTCACCCATGGGCTAAACTGTACAAAAGTTGACTTAAGGATTTGCTAAGTTTTCACTTTTTACAACTTAAAGCACCAAGGCTGCAATTCTAAGAATGCTTCCTTGCGAGTAAGCCCTATAATTAAAATGGGAATTAGTTTTGAGTTGGCCTGTTTAGAATCACTCTCCAAATATCCATGGACTGTGGACTCTTGGACTTGCGGTTTCCTCATCCTGGCCGTGTACAGTAGGAGATTCCAGCTGTTAGGAGAGCACTTCTATTGCAAAATTGGTGGGCAGAGGGAAGATGGCAGAGGAAAGACCACAGAGAGGCTTTATTGCTGGAGTTCCAGGGAAGGTGGAAAGGACATTTTTATACCTTTCACATTTTATTACATTTTTAATCCCAAGCCTCTTCTAAGGAGTTCAAGATGCATGCAGAATTCTCTCCTCTTCCATTCAACCCTGCAAGATTGATTTGGTGACTTTGTGACTAGTCCAAAATTACTTAGTTTCATAGCTGAGTGGGAATCTGAACCTGGGTCTCCCCAGCCTTAATCCAGTACTCTTAGCCATTGCTCTGTGCCGTTCTGATTGTTGGGAGTTTATCTGTGCTGATTGTGTTTGTTGGGAATAATCACCTGCAGTCACTTGCAAGAAAGTCATTTCATGGTCTTCTTACTTTGCAAGAGATCAGTGGCTGGAATATTGATCATGGCAGCTTCTCTCCCACATGGCAACTTTAATACCTCACAGATACTGTGATGTCCTTGCTTGTAGGGGAAACAGTTTTACCTTTAAACACTCTCTGAGTACATAAACTTGGTAGTTTTCTGCTGCCACCAGGAATTCCAAGTCTCTCTCTTTTGGTAGTATGACCTTGGGTCTGGGCACTTCAGAGGACTATGTGGCCCTGAGGAAGTACTGTACTGATTTCTGGGATAAGTTTAAACAAAAATTGATTTATTTAATAAAGAAAAAAATTAGTTTTCTCGTTATCTTGAACAGTTGCTGAAGAAAGGAACTTGTAAATATAACTGGCAAAGCTTCAGTCTCTCAAACTCCACTCTGACAGGCTTATACATTCAGTATAATCTCTCTCTATCTCATATATATAGATATAGCCACACTGGCTAGTCTCTTTGTTTTATTCACACAGAATGGAATCAACTCTCTTAGTCACACAGACTAAACTGTTGGTATTCACGCAGAATTCACACAGAGTAGGTGATTGGATGGAGTGAGTAACTTTCTGCTTAAGTGATGATTGCTGGAGGATGGAAGTGTGAGTGCCAGGCAGATTGTTAAATATTTAAACTTAAATGAATGGTGATGTAGGTTTACTGGCACGGATAAGCAATTTGTAATTAGATTTGTATAGCAGACTGTGGGGTGGGGGAGTTGGGCAACTTTCTAGCTTGCGGCCGGTGGTCTGGAGCTATGGCGTGGACTGGTCGATGCAGCAATGCCAGGACAATAGATTCCAGTGCTCTTTGGTAGGGGAAAAATAGCGGTGGGTCCAGGCGGAGGGATAAAGGAAGGACGCTGAGAAACAAAAGGGCTCGGTGCCCTTCCAGCCTGCATCCCATCCCAAACGATGTCGGCAGTGGGGCTAGGATTAGCAACCCCCCTCCGTCATTGGTGTGCAATGCCAGGTCTATTAACAACAAGACAACAGTCCTCTGGGACTATGTCATAGAACATCAGGCCAACCTGGCGTGCGTGACCGAGACCTGGGTGCGGGACGGGGAGACTGTAGCTCTCTCCCAGCTTGCCCCACCGGGGTTTTCGGTCCTTGACCAATCACAGACTAGGGGGCAGGGGGGAGGAGTGGCAATATTTGTGTGGGAGGCTTACTCCTTCAGGGCGCTCCCTACATTGGAGATTGCGGGCTTAGAGTGTGTCGGACTGGTGCTGGAGGCGAAGGAGAGTGTGGCAATCTGGCTGGTGTACCGTCCGCCTAACGCGCCAGCCAGCTGCCTGCTGTCCCTGCTGGAGGCCGTATCAGGCTGGGCGCTGGAGCACCCTAGGTTATTAGTCTTGGGTGACTTCAACGTCCATGCTGATAACGCGGTCTCTAGCCGGGCTACGGACCAATGTGTATCGGCCCCCACGCATCAGGCTGGGCACACGCTCGATTTAATCTTCGCAATGGGGATTACAGTGGACCAGATCACTGCGGAAGCAGTGCCATGGTCGGACCACTATGCCCTGAAGGCCCGTTTGAATGTTCCGCCCTGACCCTGTATAGGTGGCGAGCGGATTTTAGCTCGCCCGTGGAGCCAAATGGACCCAGTGCGGCTTCAACTGGCCCTGCGGGATCCAATGCCCCCTGGCGGTTCGTTGGATGAGCTTGTGGACAACTGGTATAGTCGACTCTCCACGGCCATTGACGTGATCGCTCCCCGGCGCTCTCTGCGCCCTCGCTCTAGGCTGGCCCCCTGGTATCCCCAGGGGTTGTAGCTGATGAAGCAAGAGCTAAGACGGTTAGAGAGACGGTGGCACCGAGCTCGCGACGAGGCTACAAGAGCATCCTATAGGATCTTTATGAGATCCTATGAGATGGCAGTCAAGGCTGCGAAGAGGGATTTCTATGCAGCCAGGGTTGTATCCACAAGCTCTCGCCCAGCCCAATTATTTAGAACAATTTGGTCTCTGACGGCTCTGCCACAGGGCAGACAAAATGCTAGGGAATTGGACATTGGCTGTGAAGCTTTTGCGCCCTATTTCTTGACACTCCGCCGCGACCTCCCCGCCACAATTGAAACAGTTCGCGAACCTGAGGCCCCTTGCGCATCTTCGAGTCTGGGTTTAGAATGCTTCGACCAGCTCAGTCTGGAAGAAGTCGACAGATTGCTCATATCTGTACGCCCAACCACGTGTGGCTGTCATCTACGCTGCCATGGGGGTTGGGGAGTTCAGTTTGTATCTTATTATGCAAAGAGACCAACATTGGCGGAGAACATGGCGGAGAACATGGCGGCGGCTGGCGAGTCAAGCGAGTGAGCGGAGGCTGGGACGGCAAGCGCGGAGGCGGGGCGACGCAGCAGGCTGGAGCCTATCGGACAGAAGCCGGCAGCGAGCACGCACGGACGTGCGCTTGGCCCAGACCCGAAGGAAGACCTGCGCCAGAAGGACGTCATCGCCGGACTGGGAAAAAGATCTCCCGCAGATAACAATGAAGACTCGCTAGAGGGTGCCTGTTAGGCTAGTCACTCTCCCCATTGTATGTATGTGGCCCTAGGTAAGGATTGGTATCAACTGAACATGTAAACCGCTCAGAGCCCTCAAGGGGTGAGCGGTATATAAATTGAAGGAAATAAATAAATAAATAATTGCTTCTACATTCCTATGCTTGTTCTGCCTTTCGCCAAAACGCTTATCTCTACGGATGTACAGGAGGGTGTTGTATTGTCTGGGTGTCTCCTAGGTACCGTGGAAGACTCCTGGTTCTCAGCTTCAGCTACCTAATGGTCTCCAAGTGTTATCCCGTGTGTGAGAGGGTGCCTAATTGGCCAGTGCTATGGGGGGGTGCATACGAATACCCTATATCCTATTATGCCCTAGGGGCCCCCGCCATTCTTAACAGTGCTTATGTTACTGCATCTATAGCTCTCAATAAAGGTATTACCGTTCCTGAATGTGTGTACTTCGTTGTTGGCTGTGGGTTCTGACAGCGGCCTTTATCCGTGCCCCTCCTGGCTCATTAAAACGGGCCTTATCCTGGCTTATTCTTCTCTCTATTGAAGTACTTTTCTGACAATTCCTTGGCAGAAATCACTGACTCCCAAAGTCTCTTCCCTCAGAAGCCAAACCCTTTGGCTACTGATCCAGACCTTAGATTTCAGATAAAGACTAAAAGGCGAATGACACATTTCCCTCCAGATCAGCTGTTTTATTTCCTCTCTAAGATGATGCTGGCCATTCAGGGGAGATTAACTCTTGAACTCCCTGACTCTCTGACAGAAGCAGCATTTTAAAAAGCCTGCATTTCTTTGCAGTCCATCACAAATGTGTTGCAAGTATGGCTGCACTTAAAAGTAACATGGAAAATTCATTTTGTGCCAAATGCTGCAGCCCATGTCTTAGATGGGCAGAGTATTACAAATAGCAACTCTTTTGCAGTTGTTGCTTTGGCTACCAGTTTGTTTCCAAGTATTTTTTATTTTTTTATTCCTTCAATTTATATACCGCTCGTCCCCTAAGGGCTCTGAGTGGTTTACATCATACAGTTGATACCATTCCTAATCTAAGGCCACACACATACAATGCGGAAGTGACTAACCTAGCAGGCACCCTATGGTGGAGTCTTTCGTTGTTGTAATCTTTCCTGCGGGAGGTCTTTCTCAGTCCGGCGACGGCGTTTCCTGGCGCAGGTCTTCCTTGTCTGTTGCGACTCCTCCCGGGCCTGGGCCAAGCGCACGTCAGCGCGTGCTCGCTGCCGGCCTCTGTCCAATCGGCTCCGGCCTGCTGCGTCGCCCCACCTCCGCGCTTGGCGACCCAGCCTCTGCTCACTCGCTCGACTCGCCGCCATGTTCTCCGCCATCGCCGCCACGCCACGAAGGACAGGTGCCCCCCCACTTGTCTACTTGCCCTTTAACGGGCTTTTGAGCTGCTGGGTGGGCGGGAGCTGGGACATAGGGCTGGGAGCTCGCTCCGGCCACGGTGGGGCTCGAACAGCCGAAGCTGTTCGGCCAGATGGAAGTGCAGGCTCCATTTACTGCTGGTTTTTAACCTTTAGACCCCCTGGATCTGCAGTTTTAGAACTTTCCTGTGTGGCTTATAAATTTGGTTATTTGATTTCGTGGGTGAATTTCTTCATATTTGGGGGCATTATCACTTTTGGGTCATTGTAGAATGGTGTGAATAATTTTATGAAACATCGTAGTTTTACTTTTCAATAAGCTGCTTTTGTGCTTCTGAAGAATAGGAATTTTTAATTTAAAAAGTACCACCACTTTGTCTTTTGCAGGACAGAGCTGATGTTCATGGCAACCAGAGAGCTTCTCCGGATCCCTCAGTCAGTCTTGGCCAAACCAGTGACTACCCCCTCTAATCTTGTATCTCTCTTCTCTCGCTATGTTGATCGGCAGAAGCTGAATGTGCTAGAGACAAAGTTGCAGTAAGTACAGAACCCTGTCCCCACATTAATAGAAGAAGCAAGAAGTAATAATAACTATAAGAATCTTGGTAATGACCAGAATGGACAACCACAAGCATAAGGAGCATCGGTGTCTGAATTTCTGAGGTTTCTGTGCTGGGGTGTGTATGTGGATTCTGGAACAGAAATGGATAAAGAAGATAAACAGAATATCTGGCCCACATACCTTTAATAGCTTAGTAGTGGTGACTCAGAAATGGGGACATACCCTAGAAGAAGGGCTAAATTGTGGGAGAATTGAGTGATACTCCATGAAGCCTGAAATTTTTAGAGACATATAAGTTCTGAAGATTTATTTGTTTAGTTAATTTCTAGTTCACATTTCTTAGTGAGAATCAAGGTGGATTACAGTGTTTTTGTAAATAAAAATAGTATAGTGTGTATAATAATGCAATGAAAGGAGCCTAAAATTTCTCAGACACTAAAACCTATTCCTTTGATAAAAAAATGCCTTCCTGAACAATATTGCCCTGCACATTCTGTGGAATGATAACCGTGTGGGAGCCTTCCTGATTATATATGTACCAAATAAAACTGAATGCAACTTTCCCCGTTAAGCTATTTACCTAACAGTTTCCCTGACTGAAATAAGGCCTAGGCATGTGTAACTGTGTGTTCATCTTCATTACTGCTTGCTGTTGTCTCTGCCTTTTTTTAGTTCTGTACTGTCAAACACAGGGGTCAGTGATCTTCAACCTTTACAGACCTAGGCCCCCACCTTTTACCCCCAGGTGGCAGCGAAGGATCCATTGAGCTGCAAGTTTGCAACAGGAAGTCATATGCCATCACAGTCACATGACTGGAAGAGCCAGAGATATGACCTCACTAGTGTGAAGGCCAGGACCATGAGCAGGAAACCAAGAGAGCCAGGGTTAGGATACAGAAGCTGAGCATCCGGATATGTTTGCTATTGAAGAACAAGCCATGGGTCAGAGTCATGGAGAAGCCTTCTGCACTGTTGAGCAACTTCTGCTTCTCTCAGTGTGCGTGTGCGCAAAGAGGCAGGCTGCATGGTGTCTTTGGTATCTATACATGTGCACTAGCAGCAGGCCCTTCCTAGAAGAACATAAAAATCTGGCAGCTCTGGTGGGGTTTGTGACATAGTAGGTGGGACCCACCGGAGGGTCCTCCTGACCAGTGTTCCCTCTAAGCTGAGTTAGTGTGAACTAGCTCACAGTTTTTTAGCCTCCAGCTCACAGATTTTGTCTTAGCTCAGGAAGGATGGCTCCAGAGCAAACTAATTTATGCAGTAGCCAAATCACTTGCTCACAACTTTAAGGCCAGTCGCTCACAAAGCAGAACTTTTGCTCACAGGACACCACAGCTTAGAGGGAGCATTGCTCCTGACCCATGGATTAGAGGCCAGTGTTACACATTTTAATGTATTCAGGGCAGAGATCTGTGTGTTTATGATGTATTGTACACCCCTGTCATTTTATAAATAATCTCAGGGAGTTGCTGTTTATATTCAACTTGTCAGACTGCCATACAGCTTGAGGACTTAATTCTTCAGTGTCTTTATTTAAAAAACAAAAACATGATTCTTGAGCCTTGGGAAGGGAAATGTTTTTTACCTATCAATTAGTAGTGCTGCAGCCAGGCTGACACCTCTCCTTGTTTGCTTTTTCAGGTTGATTCAAGGAATACGGTAGTGGGCCACAAAGCATCACTGCTGGTTGCCATTGTCGTTGACACTACTACAGTGTTTTGAGTGGGCGAAGAGGAGGCCGTGCCTTCTCAGAATCAGTTCTTGTGGGACTGTGTCTCTGGTCTAACAGAGAAGATCGCTCTCTTGCTCTGAGCTTGGCTGAGGCTGTGCTTTCCTTCTATCCCTCATTGCCAGTTTGCAGCTCTGCATGTCCTTGCTACATTGAATTCACCCTCGGCCCTCCCTCCCCTCAGCATTTTCATGACAGCTGCTGTTCCTCCCCCAT